AAAATGCCGGACTGGCTACGTCCTTGCTTTTTTATATTTCCCATATTGTCAAGGAGTTTGCCAGTCGACAGCATTGTCAGCCGCTCGATTTATACCAATCCCTCGTGGACCTGAAAGCAGCGCGCACGAACATGCTGGACAATATGTTCGATTTTTTCACCTCCGCCTAACGCGCCTAGGCCATACAGTTGGCTCAGGCCGAGGCGTCGGGGCTGAGCTTGACAGACTCGGGAAGGTACTGGCGCACCTCCTCCCCCCCTTCTCCTCGAACGCTTACAAAATCAGCGACATCGCGAAGAAACTTGAAACGAAGCCAACAACACCAACAACAACACAATGCACGTCCCCTCTCCCCAGAAGTTCTCCCGAAACCATTGTGTCTTTGCTGTTGTTTGTGTTTCTTCATCTACCCTGTTTCGCTGATTTTCCTAGAATGTCCAAGGCGTTCGAGGAGGAGGAGGAGGTGTCCCAAAGGGGAGGGGAAGACGAATTAGAGCAGCTCTCTCTCTCTCTCTCTCTCTCTTTCTCTCTCTTTCTCTCTCTCTCTCTCGTTCTCTGTCTCGGGGGCAGCCCCTCGTCGTCGTTGTCGTCGTCGCTGGCCTTGCTGCTCGTTGGCGGGGCAGTCCTCTCCTTCCGCCTGTCCCGCTGCGGGGGGGGGGAGGGCGGGGAGGCGGTCTTTCTTGCGGCGGGGATTACCAGCCTGGAACATATCCCTATCCCTATGCTGGGCATCTCCTCATCACGATGCCAATCTTAGGGATTCCCTTGTTTTTTGAGGGCGCATCCCGAAGATTGTCATCGCCTTTTGGCGTGTCAATCTTAGGGGTAGGGATAAGTTCGAGGCTGGTAAGGGGATGCGGTCTTTCCTGCGGCGGCCCTCGAGGGCCTCCCTTTCCGCCGCGCGCCGCCCCCTTCCCGCGCCCACCGGTCCGTGCTGCAGCGGAGGAAGGCGCGGAGGCCTCTCGGGCGAGTGGTGCCCCAGTCCCTGAGTTGCCCACGCACCCTCGGGGAGAGCTCCTGGTCGCACGCCCTGGCGGAGCTTCCCCGCCTCGGAGGCGAAAGGCAGCGACGACCACGCCTGCTGCTCCCAGGGGCGGCCCCCCTGATTCCTCCCAGCGACTGCCCCGTGCAGCCCAGGTGGTGCCGCCGTCTGCGCTTTGCCCGCGGCCTCCAGCTCTTCCAGGCCGCCAGTTGGCGGTGCGTCTGTCTGGCCTCCGCCTCCTTCCGCTTGCGCAGCGTCTTCTCGTCCCTCGCCTTTTTCCGTTTTTTGTTGCTGTGCATGTTTATTACTATTATTATTACTATTCGTATTCTTATTTTTATTGTTGTTTTATTATGGTTATTATTATTGTTGTTATTAATATTATTATTATTATTATTTTTCTGAAGAAGCCGAGAAGCCGAGAAGGCTGCCCTCCCGTTGGCTCCCCCGCCCTGCGGCGGGGGTCCTCCGGCCGCGCCACGACCTCGTGCAACTCCGCCCCGTCGTGGTCCAGCCACTCCTCCGAGGAGCATGAGGTATTGATGTTGATAGGTTTCAAGATCTCCGGGTTTTCCTGTGCTTCCGCGCGGGCCCCAGGGACGAATGGCATGAAGTATTGATGTTGATAGGTTTCAAGATCTCCGGGTTTTCCTGTTGGGGGGCCACTTGCGAGCCCTACCCCTGCCCCCCACGACTTCTGAGGGGGAGGGTGGGGTTCACTTCGCTCGAGCGCTCCCGGACGATGTGAACCCCACCCTCCCCCTCAGAAATCGTTGGGGGCAGGGGTAGGGCTCGCATGTGGCCCCGTACCTGTTCTTCCGCGCGGGCTCCAGGGAAGAATGGTCGAGCGCATTCTTGATGCGGCGCCGCATGGGCGCCATCATCACATTCTCCTTTCGGAGATCACCGCGCTATGCTAACTGATCCGCACCAGACTGTGCGCACGTTTTGGCTGCCAGTTTGGTATGGTTTGGAAGCGGGGGAGGCCCTTCGAGGCGGTAGCTGTTTCGGCGATGTCATCACTGAAGGTCTTCTTCTTCGCGCGCTGGGCCGATGTGTATGTGATGTTCCGATCGGCCTTGCTCTTGAAGGCGACCGTCCCTGGCCGCGGATGTGCCATAGCCAGCGACAGCAGCCTTCGATGGATGGGGGGTGGGCGCGAGGTGTTGCTGGAGTCCCGGGCGCGGTGCGGCGTGCCTTTTTTCGCTCATCATTCCTTTCCTCCTCCGCATCTTCCTTCCCCTCCTCCTCCTCCTCCTCCTCCTCCTCCTCCTCCTCCTCCTCCTCCTCCTCCTCCTCCTCTACCTCCTCCTCGTCCTCCTTCCCTCCAGCCTCCTGCATCGTCCCTCTTCTGTGCTCTCTTCTCCCTTTCACCTCCGCTGCCTCCTCGCTCTCCCCATTTCGTCTCTCGGCCTCCTCACTCCTCCTAATTCCTCCTGCCTCCTTCTCTCCACTATGTCATCCTTTGAATGCGTATCTCTACCAACTTCCCCTGGGGAGGGGCGCAGGATGAGGATCACGAGACGATAGGTGGCATGTGGAGGATTAGACATAGGAAGACGGAGCAGGAGGAAGAGAATGATGATGGATGCGTCCCCCTTCCCCCAGACCGTCGTTTGGGGGTGCTCTGTGGGCATACATACATATAAATGTACATGTTTATACATATATAGAAACCTATTCCGGCGAAGCACCCAACCATACGCGGATTCGAGTGCCACAGGGCAGGTGAGACGAAGCAGGGGCAGCTCCCTATCCGGCCTCGAAGCGTGTGAGGGGTGTGCCGAATCGGGTGCGGTTACGCCATGCAGACCGGGGCCTTCGGTGGAGCTCCCTCTAAGGCCACGGAGCGTTTGGCGAGTGTGCCGAAATGGGTGCGGTGGCGCCACGCCGACCCTGCCATTAGGGCCTTTGGTGGAGCCCCCCTAGGGGGCCACGAAGCGTGTGTGCCGAAACTGGTGCGGTGCTCTTCGGTGGAGCGCCATTGGGGCCTTCGGTGGAACTCCTCATGAGGCCACGAATCGTGTGAGGGGTGTGCCGACATTTGTGTGGCGGCGCCATGCGGGCCTTGCCACAAACACTTTCGGTGGATCTCCAGGTGGGGCCACGATGCGTGTGAGGGGTGTTGCGACATGGGTGCGGTGGCACAATGCGGACCCTGCCCTTGGGGTCTTCAGTGGAACTCCTTCTCGGGCCACCAAGCGGGTGAGGGTTGTTCCGACATGGGCACGATGGCGCCATGCGGACCCTGTCACTGGGGCCTTCTGTGGAACTCCCTATGGGGCCACGAAGCGTGTGAGGGGTGTGCCGAAATGGGTTCGGTGGCGCCATGCGTGCCCTGCCACTGGGAGGGCTGAGGCAAGAACGGGATGCCGATGGTAGTGGCGATGATGCTGATGATGATGATGCTGATGATGATTATGATGATGATGCTGATGATGATGATGTTGATGATGCTGATGATGCTGATGATGCTGATGATGCAGATGATGATGATGATGCTGATAATGATGATGATGATGATGCTGATGATGATGATGATAAAGATAAAGATAATGATGATGATGCTGATGATGATGATGATGATGATGGTGATGATGATGATGACGATGATTATGATGATGATGATGCTGATGATGATGATGATGCTGATGCTGACGCTGATGCTGAGTCTGATGATGGTGATGGTGATGGTGATGGTGATGCTGATGCTGATGCTGATGCTGATGATGATGACGATGATGATGATGATGATGATGATGATGATGATGATGATGATGATGATGATGATGATGATGATGATGATGATGATGATGATGACGATGACGATGACGATGACGATGACGACTAGTATGACGACGTGGGCGTGCGCAGGGCAGAGGCAGGGATGGGATGAGGGGGAGGAGGAAGGAGTGAGGAACGCGGGGCGCTATCTTTTCCAAACGAGGACCCAGCACCACAGGATGGTCCTGATGAAACGAGCTGTCAGAGGTCCTGAGCGGATGTTTTTCGGGCAGGCGCGGTCGTAGCCCCCCCACCCCCACCCCTGGCGCGCGGGGCGCGCCAGGGGCGGCGCCGGGCCGCTGTTTGGGGTCATCGCGAACAGAAGAACCCCTAACCCTAATAGCACGATGAAGGCGCGGCCTCACTTTGGTCCCCGCCTTCGCACTAGGGACTAGGGGTGCCCTCCAAACTGAGGTCCCCTCCCAAAGGGTCAGGGGTAGTGTTATTGCGCACCATGGGGGTGTCCCAACGCTGGCGGCGCCTGAAATCCGCGCGGACCTTCGACAGTTTTTGGGCGGACGGCAGGGGCGGGGCATTGGACGTCTGGGCATCGAGGATGGCAGGAAAGCGGCCCTGGAGGGGCCCTGTGCTTCCCCTGAGCTACAACCGCGGGCTCAAGAGGTGCACGAACAAGTGCGCGTTTCCCCGTTGCCAGAAAGTGTGCACAGACACCCTCCAATGGATTGTTTCTGGGCCTCAGGGGAGGACATGTCACCACTGCGAGCCAGCGACTTTGTACACCGGCGCCCTCCCTGAAGCTGCATGCAGAGTTCGTCGGAGGGCGTTTGCGTATCTAGTTTCGTGGTGTAGCTTCTTTTCCCCACGGCGACTCCCCCCCGCTAGCGAACACCCGAGACGGCATATGTCGCCGCGCCGTTTGCTCCGACGCGCGGCCTGACGCCTTGGGGGTGCGCCTCGGCCACGGGGACAGACGCCGCCTCGGGCGCAGAGCTTGCCATGGGTCTGCCGCGGTGCCGGCGTCGTCTGCCTGGGCCAGGGTCGCAGGGTTTGCCACGGGCTCGTCGTGGTGTCGGCGTCGTCCACGTGGGCGCGTCGAGAACAAATGGCGCGGCGACATGTGCACATTCAGTTATTACTGCCACTCGGGCCAGGACTGCTACTGCCTCCGGTCTGGATTCGACTGCGAGCTGAAGGCCAGCTCGCGGGGCAACGACGTGTACAGGCAGGTTGCCCAGGCGCCCACTCCCGCCGAGGATTGGTGGGCGGCAAAAAGGGGGGGTACTTCGATCCGATCGATCTGATTTGACGGCGATTCTGGGCGGCTCGGTTCCGGGGGGAGATTGAAGGCCACCGCCCCCGCGCGCGCGTACCTTGTGCCGGATCAGCTTTTCGTCGGGGGAGATCAATTGTGTACGCAACCCCCTCTCCACGGTCTTATGCCAGACCAGGGGAGTGGTGTACAAAAGTCGTGTTCCCACGATTTGATCTCGCTGCTCCGAAGCCTTTTTGGCTCAAGCCCCCGTCAGAGGGGATTTGCTGCACACCGGAACTGTATTAGGCCTGTGGCGTCGAGAAGGGCATCTTCCGTTTACAGATACAACGCGATGCAAGTGTTGTGCGTGTTCATTCTTTCTTTTTTGACGGTGACTACCCAGCTGAACGTGCGCTTGGACGGAGACGATGTCGGTGTAGATGACAAGGTGGACACTCTTGTGTATGAGTTCGGAGGCTTCTTCGAGTTTGTCGGGCATGCGAGCGAGGCTGCTGCACCTCGCGAGCAGGAGGAGCAGCAGCAGCTCGTCGGGCACGACCGCAAGAGCGACGAGACCTGGCCAGTGGGCTCGTGGCACGCGCCACTTCGGTCGAACGAAACCTACCCAGGGAAGGAGAACTGGCCGTTGTTCGACACGCCGCAGTGCTCCGCCGACGACATGACGGTCATCAACTATTGGGCATTGAAGCAGGCGAAGAAGACACTCCCTGTGGCCGCACGCGCCGGGGACTTCAAGACAGGGTCCTGCTACAAGACGTTCACGACCGACTGGTGGTTCGGGATCTCGCAGTGGGTGTCGTGCTACCAGGAGTTTTACAACGTCTCTACACCGTGCGCCACTTGCATAGGTAGCGTCTACAACATGGCCAAGTACAACATGTCGGAGAACTGCTACAACTTGTGCAAGGGCCGCCCGTCGAGGAGGGACGGCTCCCACTGGTGCTGGGAGGACTGCCAGCAGTGCATGTGGTACGTCGGGAAGAAGCTGTCGGACTGCTACGGGGAGCCCTACGATATGACGTGCCGCTATGGCAAGGAGCTTGGCAAGGAGGGGTACTTCGAGAAGAACGGCATCGACCCCAAGCGATGAGAGGAGTGTGTCGGCCTTTTGGGGCCAGCAAGGTCGCGCTGTTGAGCCTTTTTCCCCTTTGCCGCGTTTGGTGGTAAGGGAACCTGCGCATATGCAGCCCGTGTCCGCTGACATGGCGTTTGTCAGATATTCGATGCGTTCGGCAACGAGTTAAAAAACGATTTGATCTCGATGCCGATTTCTAGGCGATCCGATGCGGCCTGATGCTTGCACGACGCTGTCGAGCGTGCTGTCGCTCTGTCGCACAGTTAGATTAGACCCGACCCCCCGATTCGATGCCGACTCACATCCTGGATCAGGGAGTGCGCAGCGTTCTCCGCCTCCCATGAGGGGGGGATGAGGTTTCCAGCCGCCCTCGTGCCGCATGCCGGCTACACGTGTCTAGACCTCCAGCGGCGCGACCGAAAAAGCAGACAGTTTTTTTTCATACGTTTTCGGAAACCACTCGGGACCGTAGCAGCAGCAGCAGCAGTAGCAATGATTCGGGATTGAAGCTGGCCCTGAGTTCGGGGACCCCGCATTGAGACATGGCAGTGCATCGGATCTCTGGATAAGAGTGCTCCTTCGCTGGGACCTCGAGTGCGCGGCGGCTTTCCGAGGGCGCCAGAGGGGGGCGGGGGGGGGGGGGGGGGGCGAATCCGAGCGCGCGGGCCGCCACTGTCGCACTGCATGCAACCATCGGCAACCCGCGCATGATGGGCCTGTTTTCCACCACCACCACCACCATAAGTTGGAGGGGGGAAGGAGGAGGACGACGAGGAGCAGGAGGAGGAGGACGAAGAGGAGGAGGAGGAGGAGGAGGAGGAGGAGGAGGAGGAGGAGGAGGAGGAGGAGGAGGAGGAGGAGGAGGAGGAGAAGGACCCCCTCTCCCTCCAACTTCTGGTGGTGGTGGTGGTGGTGGAGAACAGGCCCATCAGCGCACCGAAGGCCGCTCTGGCCGAGCATTCTCCCCCCCCCGCCGCGTGCAGCCGCGCGCGCGAGAGCACCGTGGCGCCTACCCTGGCCGGTCCCCTCCCGGAGCCCCCACCCGAGCACTGCCGCGGGCGGCGCTCCCGGTCCCCGCGGGCCAGGGCCGCGAGGGTCATCCTAGGAAGGGTCGGGGGTGGACAGAACCCCCAACAGTGACACGTCGATTATTGAATTGTCCATGTTCGGTTCTCGAGAGGGCGCCGTGGCCGTCATTTTCCAGGTTTGCGCCCTCCAGGTTTGGGCCTCAGGTCGTTTTCACTAAACCACGTTTTACTCAAGGGGGGTCTGTCCATCCCCGAAAGGGGCCAGCAGCTCTCCCGATACCATGCGGTCGGCCCGGATTCGTAGGTCGACCCTGCCAGCTCAGGGGTACTCCAGATTTCGTAATCAGACCTCCCCCGTGGGAGAACCCGCCAAAACATCGTCACCAGACCCCCCAGGCCCTCCAAGATAGCCTGGAAGAGACCCCCCCCCTGAAATGAGACCCCCCTCCCTTTATTACGAAATCTGGAGTGCCCTTGTGTCCTGTGCCTCGCGGCACGTGCCTTCTTACACTCCTGTGGCGACGTGGCCCTCGGAAGGGTCTTGTGTCCTCTCGCGTGTCCTGCCCAGTCAAGGCCGACTGTACAGTGGACAGAACCGCGACCCTGACACGCCGATTAGTGATTTGTCCGTTCTCGGTTCTCGAGAGGGCGCCGCGGCCGTCGTTTTCCAGGCTCGCGCTCGCCAGGTTTGAGCCCGAGGCCGTTTTGACTCAACCACGTTTTGCTAAAGGGGGTTCTGTCCATCCCCGACCATACAGTGGAGGCACATGCCAACAAGCACCCTGCTTGCCTCCAGGGTGCCCTGGGCTTCTTGGATTCCGATGGTTTTGCCGTAGCAAGCGTGGCGCTCCCACACCAAAAATGAATGGACGTCCTGAGGGCTCAGGGTTGGGCTTCTCGTGGAAGGCTTCTTGTGCACTGGCCTCCAGGCCGATTAGCAGGTCGGCCCTGCCAAATCGAGGGTACCCTTGTGTCCTGCGCCTCGCGACCCATGCCTTCTACATTCCCATGGCAGCGCGGCCCTCGGAAGGGCCTTGCGTCCGCCCGCGTGTCCTCTCCAATCGGCCCCGACTGCACCTCCCGGACCCCTCCGGCGGCGCAGTTCTCCCGCTCGCGGCGGGGGGCCTGGACCTTCGGGCGGAACAAAAGGGGGGGATTGGGAACGGGGGGGCTGCGAAATCTGCTGCGTGCAGCCGGCTTCGGCCCCACCGAGGGGCCCATTCCTCGATACGATACCTGGGCGCCTCCCGGCGCCGGGAGGCTCTGGGACAGTCAGCCACGTGAGCTGATTCTCAACCCCGCCCTTTGCTATGCCCCCCTTCCGCCCGGCCCGAGACCCGGCGACCCCGCCCACGCCCGCCGAGGTCGCTGGCCGGGCTCCCGGGAGTCCCCAGAGCACCCCACGGGAGGCAGAGCTCCCGCAGAGGCCTCGCGGGCCCCGGGGGCGCCCGGCGCCCCGCGGAGGGCTCCCAGAGGCCCAGGCGGCCCAAGACGCCCCAGAACGACGTCACTCAGGAGGGAAAAACACACACAGACACGATGAATCGTCCATTCCCCAGAAAATAGGGGAAACTATGGGAAGTGGGGGGGAAGACAAAAACCCAGAAAATACAGGAACATGTGGGGAATCTTGTTATTTGTGTGCATGTATTTGCGTGTCCCCGGGCCCCTTCAGTCACGGAGGCTGTTTTTCTTCAGGCTCGGGCGAGTTGACTTGCATGGCGTTCCCCCCCTCCACCGCCGTTCCAAAACGTCTGGGTTGAACATGATGCTTGTTGGGTCATTGTGTTGGCCCACATTTTGGCGAAAGTATCGCGCCGGACCTACGAATTCAATGTACGTGGTGAGCTCCGTGTCAATACGCTACGGGATGCGTGTTGCGTACCAGGGCAGCTAAGCCCCATGCCAGTAAAGTTGCCAGACTTTCAAGACAGGCCGCCTCCCAGAGGCCTCGCGGGCCCCCAGTGAGCGTCGGCCGGGGCTTCGGAGGGCTCCTGAAGCTCCAGGATCGAGCCCTCCTGGAGGGCTCCCTCCATGGAAGGGCTCCCGACGGGCCAAGCGGCCCAAGACGCCCCGAGCCTTGATCCTCGATGCTCGATGCTCGATCGAGCCTCGATCCTCGAGCCTTGATCCTCGAGGCATCGAGCCTAGAGCCTCGATCCTTCGATCCTGGATGCTCGATCCTCGAGGCCTCGATCCTGGATGCTCCATCCTCGATCGAGGCCCGAGCTCGCCAGCGCCTCCGCCCCTCCGGCAGGCGGTCGGGGGCCCTGCCCCCGAGCTCCCCGCCGCGGCGCAGTGGCAGCACGACGGCTTCCGCCCGCAGTGACCTGCCGGCCGCTTCCTTCTTCTCTCGGCCCTCCTCCTCCCTCCTCCCTCCTCCCTCCCCTCCTCCTCCTCCTCCTCCTCCTCCTCCTCCTCCTCCTCCTCCTCCTCCTCCCTCCTCCCTCCTCCTCCTCCTCCTCCTCCTCCTCCTCCTCCTCCTCCTCCTGCTCCTCCTCCTCCTCCTCCTCCTCCTCCTCCTCCTCCTCCTCCTCCTCCTCCTCCTCGTCAGTTTTGGAGCCAGCTGGGAGTCTTAGTCTGAGTCTGAGTTCGCGCCAGCAGGGAGGGGGGCGAGGTTCGAGGTTCTGGGTTTGGGAGTTCTTTTTGTAGTTTTTCAGCCTCGTTGGGCAGTTCTCGGGCCCAGGAACTGTCAAAAACGGTTCCGTGGTGCAAAATTACACCAGATGGACCTCTGGAGGGGTCAGGAGATCGATTTTGAGCGGATTTGGCTTCGTTCCCCCCCTGACCGATGCTCTGGGGTCCCAGCCAGTTCAGACCACCCCCTGGCCGCCTCCAACCCTCCCCCTCCTCTCCTCAGTCATCCTCCTCCTCCTCCTCCTCCACCTCTTCTTCCATTCCTTCTGCTTATAAGTGTAAACAAGTCCTCCCTGTCGCACTCCGAGGCTGGTCGAAAGGGCGGGCCGGGCATTTTGCTTGAGACTTCATTACCAACTATGAGTTTTAAGCGTAAAAGCTGGCAACAGTTTCACAGATGGAGAGCGGGCCGCTTCCAAAATGTTGCTCTCGCCTGAGCGCCGCGCACATTCGTTTTAAACGTTTGCATGAGCTTCACGGATTGAGGGCGGGTGCTTTTCAATATGTAGTTTTCGCCTCAGCGCCGCGCACATTTGTTGTATCATATCGCAGGAGTTTCACGGATTTAGGGCGGCTCGTTTTCAAGATGTGGTTCTCGCTTCTGCCCCGCGCGCATTCGTTTTAAGAGCTTGCAAACAGTTCACGGATTGACGGTGGGCGGTTTTCAAAATGTGGTGTTCGCCTCAGCGCCGCGCACATTCGTGTTAAACGTTTGCAAGAGGTTCAAGGATTGAGGGCGGGTGGTTTTCAACATGTGACTGTCGCCTTAGCGCCGCGCGCAGTTGTCTTACATATTTTCAGGAAGTTTCACATATTGAGGGTGGGCGGTTTTCGAAATGTAGTTCTCGCCTTAGCGCCGCGTACAATTCGTTTTTGTTTCAAATATTGCAAGAGCTTCACGGATTGAGGACGGGTCGTTTTCAAAGTGTGATTCTCGTTTTAGCGCAGCGTGCATTCGTGTTACACGCTTGTAGGAGCTTCAAAGATCGAGGGCGGTTCATTTTTCAAATGTGGTTCTCGCTTCAGTATCGCGCACATTCGTGTTAGAAGTTCGCAAGGGTTTCATGGGTTCTCAGGACTCACGGAGCAGAAATTGTGTATTGGACCGGTTCATGATTGTCAGGGCGCAGTTGTTACGTTCATTCGCGGTGTTGAACTCACTTGAACGGTGTTCTGGCACGATTCTGAACCGCCAAGATTTCACAATCAGGTTAATTAACTCGTGGCGTTGTCATGAGAATGGGATTTTGGTCCTCTTCAGGATTTTTACATTGTTGTCCCCCAGCGGGGCAAATTCCTCAGTGGAAATTAGAGCCCTATGAAAGGGGAGCTTGAAGGGAGAATGTATTCCAACATCATTGATGAGTCTTGGGTTTGCACTGGTCCTCCTCCTCCTCCTCCTCCTCCTTCTCCTCCTCCCCCTCCTCCTCCTCCTCTCTTACTCCTCTTCCTCCTCCTTCTCCTCTCCGGAACCATTTCTGGCTCTAGGCGCGGCGCGGCTGTAGGCCATCGTTCCTTTCCCTTTTGCCCATGTCCTCTCCCCTTCCGCACCAAGTAGTCCAGGATCTCCATGGAGAGCTGCTGGGTGGCGTTGCTGCCATCACCAGCCGTCACTACGAGGGCCTCGAGCAGACGGGGAGGGACCTCCGTCGGCAGGGGATCATCGATTCGAAGTTGGCGAAGAAGCTGATGCTCCTCGACGGCGCTTTCAACCTTATTCGGCACATCCGTACGGTTTCTGTTGATAAGTTTCGT